CTCAGAATAAAAATTGATGCGATTCCCTTGAGCTTCACTGCTTGTTATACTCGGCAACAAAGATACAGGGAAGAATAATGTGAATCTCATTTAACATCACAAAGGAGCTTTCCACAGCAGGATGGGCTGATGTGGAACTATTGAATTTGCATAAAAAAACCTCTCCACTTTCTCGTCCCTTAAAAAAAAAAAAAAAAAGGAAAAGATTTAAAGCGTATTTTGAGAATGATTGCATTGTTTCTTGTAGTTAAGGGAAGATGTAATAGGCTCATGATTTTAGTCCTACTCTCTGTGAAAGATTCCGGTTCTTCCATGCCGCAAGCAGCCCAGATGACCTCAGGCAAGGGACTTCCTTCTCGCTGAGCCTTAATTCTCTCCTTTTTGCTAGTTCAAAGAGGATTTGTGAGGCTAAATATATTAAAAACTCTGGGCTCAGCTTACAGTCATGACAGGCCGAGCAAAATCTCAGAGTCAGCAAGTAGTCGTGATAAAACTTCCTCACAAGCAGACCAGGCATGCAGGACCAAAGCATCCGCAACAGTAAGAGCAGGAAGCCATACACAGATCTGCAAGTCAGAAGCAGCTGCAAAAGAATGATTTGGATTCCTTTACCAGCATGACATTTTAACTCCTTCCCTCTCAGCAGGTAGGGAGGGTTTGATATCGAGGTGTTCCTCATTAGCCAAACTAGTCGGGCTTTCAAAACCCATGTCTAGACAGGAGATTTGCACTTCTGTCTTGAGAGAGCCTGACAATGTTTTACCAAACACAAATTAGTTTTGGATAATAAGATTTTAATAAGGTGACAGCAAAACAGCTAGAATCAGGTAAATGAGAGACCAGACTTCAACTTCTTTAAAAATTTAAAGTCCTACACTTGCAAGATGTCAAAACAATGCAGCACTGTTTTCTGCTAGTTTTTGTAATACCATAGTTTTTCTCTTTTGTGCTGTTCTTCAGTCTATCCTTGGCTAGAAGATGGTGGTTTAATACTGTAACCACACACTGAACTATTGCCAGGATGGCAGTATTTTGAAGAATAAGGTGCTGTTCTGTTTCAGCATTTGCTGTGTTGTGTGAAGGGAAACCTACAGACTCTGAACTGATAATTATATGTAACCTCGGGCAGAGTTCATATCACTTCATAGTGAAAATATTGTCCTGATGGGGGTTGAGAAACAAAGGTACAGTGAGATGAACTGATCTGACTAGCACTACTACAGGTCAATCAAAGTTCTAGGAACATCTTGTCCATTGGCTTCTTTGCCTAGAAATAAAAGGTACAGTGCAGGACATGTTGGAGCTCCTCCATCCCAAATGGAAGGCACTTGAATATGAGGGCAGGAACAAGCTACTACTATTTTTTTTTCCCATGTAAAAAACTTTATGCATGTGCCTGCTACTCTGCATTCTAAAGCTAAAAACAAAAACAACAACAAAAAAAACCCCAGTTTGTTAGCACCTCAGATTCAGTTATTTTCCATGCTGAACAAACATTTTTAGATTAAAAAACCTGAAGTTTTTCAACATCACAAAGTAATATGTTTATGTAGAAACTCCAATCTATAGTACTGTATCCCCTTAGTGGAATTTAGAAAAATCTATAGAACTGGTGCAGAAGGTGTGAAAAATACCCAGGTTGAAAGTATGGATTGACTTTTTGCTTCCTTAAAAAAAGGTAAGAATTTACTAGAGTAAAAGCAATGTATTAACATATCAATGAGAGGAAAAAAAAAAAACCTCATATAAATTAGTCAGAGGGAAGCTTTCCTGTTGGTGACTCATACAGCCAAATCACAGATCTCCTGAAGTCAGCATTAACAAATTTTACCATCCTTTTTCTCCAAGATGAATTTTGTAGGAAAACAACCTAATTTGGAGGATCAGTGGTTTCTTGTAAAAAGGACTAGAATGTAATAAGAATGTATTACAATGAGTTTTGTGATTTGAATTTACTCGTTTGCTGAATTAATCAACTTCAATTTGGGATTCCTAATGTAATGTTCCAAGCTTTATTTGTTCTAGTTGGTTGCTGTTAACAATATGAATTATCTTTTACCAGTATGAGTCAGTTTAACTCAGTTCCAAACCTTTTAAACTCATAACAGATGGATCAGAAAGTCAGGGTTAGAAAATAAGCTAAAATATGACAGCATTATATAGTTTCTCTAAACCCATGACTGTTTCTGGTTTAGTTGCTGTATGCTCATATTTTCTAAATCTCAAATACTGAACAAAAATTCTTGTTTTCATTTAGAGAATCAAAATCTGCTAAACTAAAAGATCTGTGGTTCATTTATAGCAGCCTCCACACAGTTGAGGAGCTATGAAAATGTCTAAAAATAACACGATCTAAAATGGTACTTGGAATTTCAGATATCTCAGGGCTTTTACATGAACAACAGTGAGCACTGGAAATGGAAAATGTCCTGTACTCACTGGCAGCCTCCCCCTTGCAGGCCTCAGCCCAGACTTGCCCCTCCGTGAATCTTGGCAGGGTGAGCAGGAGGAGCCTGAGGACCTGAACAGCACCTCCTCAGGGAAGCAGGGAGTCACCTTCTAATGGCTGTCATTTCTTTACACACTGGCTCCATGACTGGGTTTGCAATTCAGGATACCAGCAGGTTTCCAGGAGGAACACTGGCAGGAGACTGTTGCTGCCAGAAGAGCTCAATAAAGCCATTTATCGTGGGTCCCTGCAACGTGCTCTGCACAGAACCACCACCAAACGAAAATTGTGCATACACAGAGAAATCAAAATCTGGATACAAAATAGTGTTTACCAAAATTCTGATACTCTCTTGGTGGGATGACACAGGGGTCAGTTATTCTTATAGTGGCCTTTTCCCCAGAAGACACAGAGTTGTTTCTGAGATCAATGCATTACAGTGTCTCTTCAGTCAATACGGGAGGATCTTTCCTTTGCAGGAACACCTGCAGGGCTGAATGTCAGGGATGGTGCATGCTAGAAAGTTCATTTTATCTTGAAAACATCCCTGGGTCTCGTTCAGTACAATCAAAGAAGGACAAGGTTTTCTATATCTGATTTTTGTGGCCCATGACTTAAAAACCCTCTCTCACAACATCCAGCTACCCTTAGAAAATACTCAGCACTACAGAGTAGGCCCCTGTTCTAAGCATAGTAAAGAAATTATTTCCTGCCAGGCAAGTAGCATGTCTACCTGCTAGTCAGCTTGTGCACATGTTGGCTGTGCCACTGATCTCCACATTGGGTGGGACCTTGATAATTATAGACAATTACAGTGATCAGTTATGGATAATTATGGAACAGCAGGCCAAATTCCTCTCTGCGGTTGCCCATCTTTACCCTGGCAGTGTTACACCATGGTTTGAGTGTGAAGCTTCAGCCTCTATATCTACATCTTGCTGTCTGCCTGCAAGTAAACACAACTTTGTAGGTCAGGAGCTTGTCAGTTACATAACCTGCCATATCTTAATGCCTATGGATTCATCACATATGGATATGGCTCTTTTATTAGGGATATAGCCAATCTTCTACCTCCAAGAGCTGCCCGCAAGAAAGAGCATCATTAGAAACATAGAGCAGACTGAGTTTAAGAGAAAGTGGAAACTTAAAGCCATGTATTTCATAATTTACAGCTGCTGCTGTAACAATTAATTGCTTGCCCCTAACCAGATCATAGATGTTTGCCAGCCACACTTCATCCCACCTCCCACACTGTGGCTGCACCAGACGCTTGATTTCCAGCTGCTGGGCCATTTCAGGCATGTGGAGAGCTTTTGGCTGCTCCTAAGGCAAGTGCCCCTCAAGCAGCTAATAAACTGCTTAGGGAAAAGGCAGGGGGTGCCAGCTGGACCTGGCCCATGAACTGGCAATTAGACACACTGGGTTATTATGACCAGAGAGAGCTACTCTTGATTTACTCTTCTAAGGGATAACATTCAGTTATAGCTCAAGCAATGCTTCAGCATGTTGGGGGGGGGGGGGATGTTGAATCTTGTGTCTGAGGATTTTCAATAGTCTCCAGCTAGCAAAGATCAGAGACTGGGAGAATGTGCACATCCTTGTAACCCTACCGAGGCCAGGGCAGCAGAGCGGGCTGATGATCTGCACAGCTTCTGTCCTAAAAGCCCAGAAACCAGGGAATAATCTGAACATGTGGTGATGAAAGGGAGTTTCTTAAGGAACTCAAAGCTTTGTCTGATTTTCAAAGCATCTGCAGAGACCATTTATTAAGCTGTATGATTTTTCAGCCTCTGACAACTGGGAAGTGAAAGAATGGAAGTTGACAGAGTTGCTTGGAGCTTTGTGTTCTGATTTGGTTGTTTTTGTAAATTCAGTTCTCTCACTGAAGAACACTTCTGTATCCCTGGGAGCCTCTGCAGCAGCACTGCTGGGGGATGTGGTACAGGAAGGCTCCAGGCACTGCCACAGCCATTTCAAACAAGCAACAACATACCCATTCCTAACTGCTGACAAAAGAGATGAATCACACAAGCATGCTGTACATTGCCACCTAATTTGCCCTGGAAGGTGCTTTTCAATTATTTAGGAAAGCCTATGTTCAAGACTATTTAGTTGTAGAGGTGTATTCTTTTTTGTCTACATTAGAATGTGGTATTAAATAATGTGCTGCTGTAAACTATTGAGCCCATCTCTGTATTACTGTGGTGACTTCCCAGGGGTGAAACAGTGAAGCCAGAAGGAAAATGTAGGCCTATGACACCCCTGAAGTCAGGAAGAAAGGTACTACAAATTTGACAGAAAAACAGTAATATAATTTGCTGCTGCTTGTCATCAGCATCTCAGTCAGCTTGTCAGCTTGTAAGTCTCTCATCCCAACAACAAAAGAATGTCACGAGGATTTCCTAAACATTGAAGAGTTCAGATGAAGGGAATCTCTTAAAAAAAATTTATAGTACTCGAAAAAGCTTGAAAATAGAATGGTTCAAGCAAAAAACACATGCTCTTACTCACACACATACAAATTAAATAAAACAGCTCATGAGTGTTGGGCTTCAGACAAAAGTTTGGATTTTTTATTATAAGAACAGTGACATTTGAAATACTGAAAAATGTTGAAATAAAGCATAATTATAAAGACATCAAATCGTTTACAAGCAGATATAGAGAAAAAAGCAGAAGAAATCTGTAGTCCACCAATCTTGTGAGCTTTTCTTTATCTCTTTTTTTTCTTTCTTTTTTGGATGACAGAGGTTATCTTCAATGCTAAGCAAAGGCCATGGGCAACATCCTGGCCCCAATGAGGTCAATGAATGTTTTCCATTGGCTTCAGAGATAGCAGAACTTTGTTCATTACCCACATACTCATTACCACATCTTCTAAACCCTTGAACTTGCTGTACCTGTTCCTCCAGCAAGGCCATGTATTTTCTTGTTATGCATCTATTCCAAACCAGTTATTTTCCTGATAAAAGCCCTTTGGTCTGTTCAGTCCATTCACGAACTGCTAATATTTCACCTACACTGAGACACAAACACCAAGATGTACAGATCCTAGACAGTGGGCTGCTAAGTGGCACCAGTTAAGATTACCCCTCTCCAGCCTGTCTGAAACAGCCCTACTGTGCTAAATTTCAGGGCACACAGTACAGCTAACTACCCCAAAAATCACAGCACAAGAGAACTGCCCTTCAACATATAGTAGCTAAACTCTAAACACAAATACATTGCTGCAGTTAACTGCTTCTCTGAAGGGTACAGCTGATGTGACAGCTATGCAACAGATGAAGGCCATCAGGGAAAAGTCTTGAGCTGCAAGTAAAGCTTAGTCAAGCTGGGACTGGGGATCAGGGATGCAATGGCAGAAGCACAGAGCTCTCCTCTGGCTTCATGATGCGAACAGGAGTGCCGCTGTGGCAGTGTAATGCCACAGACATCCCTGGTTATTCACTGTCCTAGTGAAGAGTTTCACAGCATCAGCCCAAAGCCTACAAATGTGCACACATTTAACATGCATGTCCCCCACCATCTCCAAAGGCACAGAGTCAAATGCAGATGGAGATTTGAGAAAAACTATCTCATCCTTCGAGGCAGCACTTCTGGGATGGGTCGGGCACAGTCTCAGGACCATCTACCAGCTGTGGAAGACCCCCCAGCTACCACCAAAGCTGCAGCTCTTCTGGGGATAAAGGGCTTCTGCTTTTAGTGGTGTCAGTTCAGCATTATTTATAAACCACAGTATTCTATTGTAACACATTCTCCCCCATACTATGAGCCCTCTGACAAGGAAAACTACACGCCCTTCAATAAATACTAAACTGACTTAAAAATTTCATTCACAAATTTAGTTTATATTAGAATATTCAAGTGACAAAATGATAAAAAAACTTCAAAACATTAGATTAAGAAAAATTATTTTTAAAAGTTACCTCAATCTACTATAAGTACAAATGCAACATGCTTTGGACATACAGACTTTAAACTTTAGCCCACCATGAAATCCAAGGGGAAAAATGGGTTTAGACCATCTTTCCAAACAAGTTAAAAACCTCCTTTAGAATGTGCCTTGAGGAGCAAACTAGTCTAGATGTTCCCTGAGGAACAAACTAGTCTGATGTGGGGTAAAAAGTAAAAATATGGCAAGGTAAGAGGCAAAGGTCTGACAATAGCAGCCACCAAGGATTTAAAAGAGTTAGGAGGTTGGAGAATAATCCATGTTATTCTCCCTTTTTTTCTGAAGAGTGCTTCCTTCTGTACATTACTAGCCTGTCGATGAGCGCCTCTGCAAAAATGCCAGAGGAGACCAGACTAGCTGGTGGATCCTCCATGGGACCAAAGTACAACCACAGTCAGGTACAGCCTGACTATTTCTACAATGGCATAGAACACTACAAGTTGACAAACAACGTGACAGCAAAAAACTGAAAGGACTTAATGCAACCAGTCAAACCCCATTCAACATCTTTTGATCAAGGGCAGCAGCTTGCAATGAACAGCCACTCTGTTTCAAAAGCACCTCCTGTGCACAGCCTGCTCCCTCTCTCTGCTCTCACACACTCACGCTCTCTGGCTCGCTGCTCCTCTTCTCTTCCTCTCGCTGGGAGGTCTCCGGAGCCTCCCTTTGCCTGGGGCTCAGCGGCATCGCAGAAAGCAGAATCCTTGCAGCTCCTTGGCATGTCTGCCCCATCAGGTTGGCACTCTGGCAGCTACACAGCTCCCTCAAGTCTCTTTCTTCATTTTCTTCCTCTTCCTCCTCTCCTTTTTTCCAGGTACACCTGGCATTCAAACAACAGGGACAATGCACAAACCTTCCACACGCAATTGTATCCCTGAGAACTGCTGGCTTTTTGCCTGATGAAGAGGATTTAAGGGTTCTTAGGTGTGTTTTACAAGGGCCACCTACTTTCAAGGGTAATTCAAAATCATGGGGAGGACTCAATGTTTTTAATGGGCTCTAACTCACTCATATTTGCTTCTGTTTCATGTTGAAAAGAGATGTGCAAAAATTACGGTCACTATATGCAATAGTAGCTTTTTTTTTTGCTCAGTTACTCTGAGAGGAACAGGAACAGGTATTTGTCAGAATAGCCTCTGAGTAATACAGAGCCTCTCAAAGAATTAAAATATGCAGCTAAAGGAGAAGCATTTCACATATTCAATTAAAAATGCATTTGTAAACACTTCTTAGATTACACATTATTCTGAAAATTCATCAGATGTGCAAAAACAATCACTTACCATTATTGGGTGAATTATTAACAATGTCCAAGGATTTTTCAAAGGAAGCACTGACTGCATCACTGCTATCTTTTGTAGATGTCAAGTCCCTGGGGTCTTCTTCCATTCTTGTTTGCAAACCTTGCTGGGGCTTAATTGAAACAATATGCTTCACTAAGCATATGAGTTAAACGAAGCATATGCAAGTACAAAATATGAGACAAAATGTCATTATTGTGGGGCATTTAAAGAAACTGCAAGACAAATTAATTTTTACATGATTAGAATAGTTTGCCATGTTATCTACCTACCTCTTATTTATTTGTTTTAGAGGGGATTAAAGTGTTGAAATTGTCTTTCAGTGTTATTTCTCCCCTTGCTTCCCCCAGTGAACAGAAGAGCAGCAAGATATACTAAGGTGGAAATACTGTCATTGTGTAGTGACACTGAGGAGTAAGATGTGCCCAGTGACTGCTAAATGACTAGAGTCCACAGAAACTGTGGAGGTAGCACAAGGAGTGTGATGAGCAACTTTGTGGATCTGGCTTCATATGTAATTTCATTTTTTATGTCCAAAAAGAACATAAAACGGTATGGCAGCACTCTGGGAACTGATAGGATGTCCTAATGATTATGTGGATTGTGGTCAGTGAAGTAGTTAAAACCTTTCCCTTAAAATGAAAGCATCAGGAGATCTGGGAGCAAAATCATCTCAAGGATCATGAAAGACCAAAAGACCACAGTGGGTGTGAGGGGAAGACAAATTATTAAAAAAAAAAAAGAGAAAAGCAGCTGTACATGTCCAGAAATGTGACCAGTGAACGAAAAACAATTTGGACATTTCGGGCATTCCCCCCACAATTTCTCATTTCACTGAGCACCAATCACAGGTAAGCACTGGTCCAAAAGCCAGTCAACACTCTGTTCCTGTGCACTTCCCATCCCAAATGAACTGACATTCTCCACAGCCTTTCTCTGTTGCACTCTGAGACATTTTTCTCTCAATAAGCTTTTTAGTGCTAGAACAGTGGCCTTGTTTTATCTCCACTGACTTTTGGGAACCACCTTTTCATTACTGTTGATATCTCTGGGTGACCTTCAGCTACAGATGAAACACAGGCCAATTGTACACTAAATTTGGAGTGCATCTGGTTTTAATCATGGATGAAAAAATGTTTATGCAGATGCATTCCAAGTTTAGTGCACAGCATTCTGTACTGCAAAATCAAAGTGTTTTGAAAATATGTTAGGGAATACCATGTTGCAAAACTCCACTGTTCACTGTCCTCATAACTCGTTTTTATGAGAAGACAGGGAGAAAAGAGAAGAGAAAGACAGAAGACAGAGAGGAAGAAAAGTCCCCCTTAGGTCATCCTAACAGAGAAGAATTCCCCCCTCTGCTAATGGAAAACCAAACACTACTGTTGGAATACAAAATACTCACATGCCTCAGTCCAGCTCCACCCTTTGCTTCCTTCACTTCCATTTTCTTCTTCTTCCGTTGTGTTTTGCTTTCGGGTCCAGAAAGACAGAAACGAATGCCTGCTTTGCCTTTTGGCAAATCCTGAAAGCATCACAGATTTTTTAAGAGGAGTCATGGGACAGCTAATTTAATTTTTTTCAGGAAAACTGATTACCTCCAGGGAGTGTGTGCTGACAGTGTACAAGCAGGCCTGTCTCTCTGGAATGGGTACACACCTCAGCTGAACACATATCTTTGCAAAAAGCTCAGCCTGCTCTTCCCACTGCTGCCCAAAGGGAACACTTCCCTGGGCTTCTAGAAACCATTTAAACAGCAAGACTTCTGCTTCTACATCTCCACCCAAGATACCACTGTATCACTGTCACCAAACCCTCCTATCAGCAAACTTAAATAAGTATGTCCTGCCTGCCTGAGATGCTGTGAAGGCTGTGCCAGCTCTGGACTCCACACCTCTTGTAAGGCCTGGGTGTTTGAGAAGGTCAGCAGCAGTAGGGTGCAAACACCCACGGTTTGCTGCTTAGGACAGTGATACCAGGGGGATGATGAACTCCCAGAACCAGCCAGCTCTCCCTAGCCCATCTCATGCCTCCTGCAAGTGTGTTCCCCAGCTCCAGCTATCTCAGGTGAAGCAGGGACCGTGCCAAGCACTTCCTCCCAGCATGAGAAAACCCCCACAACCGAAGGAGCCTGGCTCCAGGGCTGGACTGAAGATCCCAGCATGGATGAGGCTGACCCCAGTGGACCAGGTCTCCCTTGGCCATCAACAGCACTGCCTCACCTTCTTCTCATCCCTTGTCTGAGGCTCCTCATCTCCAGTCCAGTTTCCCCACTCCTCTGTGGGAGCTTTCCAGTCAGAGTCCAGGTCAATCACAGAAGGGTCACCTATTAGGGCAAGCACACAAATGAGTTATGTTCAAATCCATACTACTTCCCAGCCTCACATGAGTAGCACAAATGCTGCAAAAATACCTGACGTCTTCTTACTTGCTTATGTGATATTTGGATGTGCATGTATGCATGTCTTAAATGTGTTAAAACATTTATAAATTTATTTGAAAAATGTATTAAGACATATATATTAACTGCCAATTCACAATTAGCGACAGCACACTTCAGGACAGGAGAATAAGAAGGGCAGAAAAGCACATACAAAACCAAAAGCCCTCCCAGCCTGCACTTCAAGAAAACAAGCTTTACAAAACTAATAGTGTGGCTTGTCAAATATTTCCTTTTAATTTTATGAAGAAGGATTGAGGCATATCCAGAAACACTGGCAGACACAGCAGGCTCTTCCATTCACTGCAACACACCATCCTCTGGGTGATTATTCATATGGAAGAGTAATATTAACAAAGGATTTGTGCATTCATTATCGCTCTCATTGGTGTCTTCTTTCTCTACAAAAAAGAGAACCAAGTACATTCTCAACTTCATCTTCCTTTTCTGTTTTCTTTTCTTGATTGTAAGCCAGAAAAGCACCATCCCAGCACTGATTTCCAAACCTCCTTAAGATACAATTCTAAATTGACATGAAATAGGGAACACCTACTCTGCATCAATTCTGATCATTTCATGGGAACTGAGCAAAAAGCTTTTCAAAATCTTTTAGGTTTCTCTATATTTCAGCATCTGGTACCTTTGAAAATCTGGCTGCAAGCCCTCAGCTGCCTCTCCACAAAGCACTGGCAAACTATCCTCAGTCAAGAAGGCAAAACAGACCAGTTTAATTCCTTCACCCAAACTGAATGAGGTGCAAAAAAGCAGATAAATCAGCATAAGATGTTGAAAGGACTATTTGATTATTTTTTAGCAATTTGAATGTAACAATCTTAAGTCTTATCCTAACAGGAAGAATGGCTTTAAAAACACAATATACGTTTAGAAACATAATAATAGCTCTTAGTTGATTACTTTTCTTAAAAAAAAATCCCAAGCCGGATGGTAAAAACTTTTACTTGAAGCAGGGCCAAAACCAAAAGCATGCTGGGAATGATAAAAGAAAACTGTTTCCAAAAAGTTGCTCCGACCACTTTGCTGCCAAATGTTATAAACATGATTATAAACATTTTTCAAGCTTCACAGTTTAAAATCCATACCCTCTATATAGACAATATGTCTTTCATTCTTCAAAAAGGAAAGGAATAAGTAATTTTGAATGCATTCCCCAATAAAATTCCAGTCCAAAACAGAATTCAGCACCCTGAGCTTCAAGGCAGCAGCTCTGCTGATGTATATTCTCATGGGTGTGCAAGCAAAACAGACCATAACTTAACACATGGAAAGCCACAACTGTTGTTTTCACCTTTTTAACTTCTGATATCTCAAAAAGTGCATTCATGTATATACTTCTAAACATGAAAATAGTTTTGATGGCAAACTGCCTGCAATGGGCCTACATTAATGCTTCACCCTTGTCACACGTGGGCATGAAACTGCCAGACAGTGGTGACTCTGCCTCATCTCAGAAATACTCTTCCCAAAGTATTGTGTCCCAGGGGTATTCAAAATCAACTCACTCTAAAATTAAGGGCAATATAAGATTGTTTAAAACTTGCTGGATTTGATGGGGAAATCGGATTAAATGTATTTATCCCAAAGCTCCGATTAAATGTACTTATCTCAAAGCTCTGACTTAAAATCTCTTCCTTTGTGTAGCATATTTCCCTTCAGTGACATCTCCCACAGTGTCTTTAAACTTTGAATGCTCTCTATATTTTTATATCTGATTCTCCTTGGGTCATCAATTATCTCACAGGCTAAAACTGATCAGTAATTTCTGTGAACATAAATACTAAAAGGAATGTGCTGTGCAGCAGCATGTTCCCTGCTCCCCATGTGGGTTTAGCCCCGACAGAGGTGATATCTCTCTCAGCACCAACACAGACCAACGTCTTGGCAATTCCTGCTGTTTATTTTTACAAAAGCAATGCTGTTAAATGTCATTTTCCAGCTAAGTTCTTGCTTGCAACCCACCCCAGTCCTCCAGCAAACTGCACCCAGACAAAGCTGTACTCTTCCCTTGGCAGCAAACATTTGCAGAGTGCATTTCAAGGCCAAGGTGGTTTCCATGTACCCCATGTAATGAAAACACTTTTAGATCATGAAAGGCACAACATTGAAGGTGTCTTCAGAAATCAGGGAGGATGCCAGCACCTCTGCAGGCAGAAAGTCCATCCCAGCACCAACTACCTGAATGTCCTTTGTCTCAGTCTCTCTCCTGTGTAAGGAGGAGTGGACAGGGAGCAGATGGCTGCACCCTGGGGGTGTTGGGAGCAGGCAAACAGGGCCCCACAGCAGCAGGATCTGGTCAAAAGGGACAGTCAGAAACTTCTCTGTGCCTGCTGATAGATAGGGTGGAGTACAGTACTGTACAGGCTGAACCTAATTATTTGGCCTGGAAAATGAAACTGGAAAGTACTGCAGCGAAACTCAGCCTGTATCACCAAGAAGGGGATTAAAAATTTTCTAATCTGGAGTTGTACATTTGGATTCTAATCTACCAGCATCTCTCTTGGCATGCTGTCACAAAATATGGGCAGCAGAAACTTAAGGGAGGCTCATCTGAGAGGGCAAACCCCTCAGTAGGCTGCATATTGTCCATGGCAGCGAGCTTTTCTGTGGCTGCTGTAGAAAACCCATCCCTTTGCAAAGGGCAGTTTACTGTGTTATGAACACAGTCCTAACCCAAATCCTGGCCAAGACATCACTCGTAGACTAAGTGTATGTAATACATTCAGTTGAAATGGGTAGATAATTTCCAGTCCAAAGCTTGAATTTCTGTGTTACAGGTCAATAGCTGGGTGGAAGAATCCCTTATTTGGCACCTTCCTTCAGAATAATTCAGCAGAGGCAAAATATCAAATAAAGCTCAGACTGACGATTTCTTTTAGTGGAAAAAAGCTACTGATTCCCATAAAACAAAGGAATTACAATTGATAGTAACTCTGGAACAGAAGGAAGATTGGGAGTCAGGAGATGCAGAACTTTTCTTAAGGTTATGGAGAAATTTTGCTTTGGCAATCAAGAAGGATTCATTGGGAGAATGCCAAGACGCAGATAAAAAATTACTCTCGTGGTCATGAGCTGTTGCATTTGCAAAGCAGAATGTGGATTTTCTGAGATTGCACTGCGCTGTTGCCAAAGCACAGGTCCACTGCACTTGGAAACAGATGCATGGGATAAAATTAGTATTCCCTTGCCTTGGAACCAGACACAAATGCTCTAAACCAGCCCAGCCCTCACTGTGTGCGGGTTACATGTTTTGCAACAGCAAAACCAGCCACAGCTTGCAATGCATTCTGTGGGACAGCAAAGCTCAAGTACATAAATGTCACCAAAGGGGCAGTGGCAGATGTGTGGCATAGATACACAAAGGGAGTATTAGGAAGTACATGCAAGTAAAGCTTCCAAGGCAGAGGCAGGAGGATCAGGAAAAACCCTGTAGAAGAAGCAAGAAAGGCACCTGATGCAAGCAGAGCACTTCCTGGGCTCAAAAATAACATGAATTATGTCAGGACCAGAAGAGGTTCAGCTCCCTTTCTTTCTCTTTGTTAAAGGAATTAAAACTATGCAAACACTAATGATGAGTAGGGAAAAAAGATGATGAACAAAGCTTCCCACTTTGGGACCCTCTTCCCTCATGGCAGCGTCCTGGCCACCTCATCCTGCTGGTGGGACTGCAGCCATCAGTGCCGACCATGTGGCTTCAACTCCAAGACACTGAATGCCCCCAGCCTAACAAAGGCTTAGAGTTTGAATATGCAGAGAAAATGACTGACGACAGAATGAGAATTTCAGAATCAATGAGGTTGGAAGTGGCCTCTGGAGATTGTCTAGTCCTATCTCATGTCTCTCAGAGGGCTCAGCTACAGCAGGTTTCACAGGAATGCAGCAAAGTATTGAATATTTTGAAGGGTGGAAAGTCTGCAACCTCTCTGGCAAACTGTTCTGCTGCCTGACCACTCTCCCCATACAAAAAAGCTTTCAGTTATGGGTAAGTGGAAATTCAATTCTTACCCATTTGCCTGTTCCCCACTCTCCAGGTCATGACTCCAAAAGGTGCTCATACACTGGCATGGCTGGACCTTCTCCAGTATTACACTGACTGTCTTGTACTGGGAGCCCAGAAATAGACACAGGACTCCAGATATGACAGTAATTGAGAATTAACCACGGGCAAGCGTGTATCATTAATGAATGTGACAGGAATCACAAACAAACAGGAGTGTCTTGTTTGGAAACCAGCCTGATTGAGAGTCTTTTAAATATTGCAAAAGTGACTGACTACCCAGTTCCTTTTACCACTAACTCCCTCTCTCCCTCTGTGTGTATATACTTTCAGTTGTGCCAACACTTAAATCTCAAGCCTTTTGTAAGTGAGGGTGTTGTTATTGCTGGTACTTCACAAAAAGATAACCCGATGTGGAGCAGGGAGCAGGCCAAGGCAGCTCCACCAGCCAGGCCAGAGGCAGGAGTCCAGCATCCAGCTCCTTCGGCTGTACCAGCCCAGCACAGAACAAAGAGACTCATTACATGTACTGCTCTGGATTCAATAAAATGACCCCAGGTCATGTTTAGGCTATGAATGGCTTTTTTTTTTTTTTTAGTTCCCAAGCCTGCAAGAGCTAACAGGCCATGTTTAACTGTCTAAGAGCTCATTTTGCTTGCAGCGCCAACCTTAATGCCAACCATTACCTCATCTAAATTCAGGGAATACATGTTCTTGACACAACCCTCCCCTGCATCAATAGCAAGGCTGATGATTCAAAGGAAAAAAATACCAGGACAAAACAGCAAGCTGTAAGACAGACTGAATCCTCTAAACACTGCTGCTCTGATGTTTGCAGAAGCAAGCTGCTGAATTTGCTCCTATCATTCTACTCTCAGACAGATATGGAGCTCCAAAAGCTTGGCTTTGCAAGTGCAGATCAAGGCCAGAGTGTGCCAAGTCTGACATGTGCTAAATGTAGTGCAAGGGAATGCTGCTGAAGAGCTGCCCACACTGCCTCCCTCCATCCCACGTGGGCACGACAGCGCTCCAAAGTTGGAAAGAGCCAGGCACCCTTTGCAGCAACGCAGGAGTAAAGAAACACAGCACCAAGGGAAGGGAAGGCTCAGGGTTGGAGGTTTTGTTTTTATTCTTTTTAAAGCAAACTGTGTTATTTATAAAATCGGCCAAAATAATGCATCTGCTGCAGAGCTTCAGTTACCACTGGGCAGAGAAGCAAGACAACCACAATCTTTTCTCCTTAATGCATTCCACCTCTCCGGGTTCTCCTGCAGTTAAGCAATCAGAGCAGCTAGAGCACAGAGAGGTTTTCTCAGCTCATCAGCCATCATTCCTGCAAGAGCAGAGAAAGGCTTCTCAACAACAGGGGTATATATAAATACTTCACTTGATCCTGACCAAAAGGTCAAGAGAAGAGGTCATCTAATACCCACACTGTTCATGCCAAATTATTCCAGCAACTCAGGACCCATGCTTGTCTTTCTTTTAAAACTAAAAAACACCCATAACCAGTAATAAAAAGACCGAAATCCTGACTGCCACAATGCACTGGAGTCGTATTCTGCATCTGGATTCAGGGCATTTCCAAGGAAATTTAAAGTTTTGGCAAAGGTACATGGAGCTTGAAAAGCACCCTGTCCTCCCATGGCTCTCCCCCAGCCACCCCACTGATCTCCGGCTGCAGCTGCCTGGAAAAGGCTCACTCAGCTCCACCTTCCCACACAACCATGGGAGGGAGGGAAGCAAACACAATGCTTCAGTTATGAAAACCAAACAGCTTTGAACTTGTTTCATAAATGCAGTAATCTGAGTTGACTGCTAACACATGGGGCTTTTTGAAACAGCAGAGCCCATGCTGCTGCCTGTGGCTCAGGAAGTCCCTGACCCGCTCTCTGCAGGCTGTGGGGAGGGATTGCCCTGTGCTTGCCCTGTGCTTGCCCTGTGCCTGCCCTGTGCTGTGCTTATCTGCCCGCAGCTGATAGCGGTGCACTGCTGGAGAGCCTGCAGACAGCCCCCTACAGCTGCTGCTGCTGCCCAGAGCTCTAGTTACACTCTGCACCACTATGGAAGCACCAAATCAGACTGTACCTACTGCATTATTTGTTTTTCTTCTGAGGGAAAACAAATAAAATGCACTTTCTTGCCCTTCTCAAGGGTTCCACATGGACAACTGCTGCCCTGATGACTGAGCTCACAGCAGCTCTGGGCACCTGCTCAAAACCAGACCCACACGAGATTTCTCCCTGACCAGCAAATGAGCCATATGAAGTGGATCCTGATGTCTGAGGCTTAGGGAATGGACTGAAGAGAGTTCCTGAATTGGTGCACTTGTCTGTCTACAGAAAAAGGGCAAAGAGACGTACCCTGCCCCTGCCACGCATCATCTGCTGGGAGGAAAGTTGAGCTGCCATGCCAACAGCATCTGGAAGGACTGTCCTCAGATGATTTACTCTTCACATTATCTGCACACAGGAAAGCATCTTCATTACAAAATTAAATCAAAAAAATCCCAAATCCCAAACTGAAAAGCTAATGACATAGGTATATTCACATTATTAAAACCAATTAATCATGCCTCTGTCTGCTCACTATGTCACAATGCCTGGATGTTATGTAATTTAAGCCACACATTAATCTATGCTTCTCATCACTGTGGGTTTATTAACAAAGGCCGGACGAGGACACTACATGCATAAGTTATTAAAAGCAACTCACTCAGGAATGGCTAAACTAACAACATTCCTAAAAGTAAACTGCTGGCACATCTCTGTTGGGGACCTAAGGAGACAGCTGTAGTTCCTGCAGAACAAAAACTGCATCCAGAGTATCCAGCTCCAACTCCCACCACCTTCAGTAAGAAGGCTTCTGCTCAAGCTAACAGAAATCCATAATTACCAAATTAATTGCTCCATGAAAGAGCACAGGTAAGAGAACTGCTGGAGGAAAAAGTTGCTTTGATGATTACTTTCAGTAACTAAAGCAACAGTAGGATTCACATGCCTCCCTGAATGAGTCCCCTTAGCCTCTTTCTAAGACCTGTACATAACAGACTTAGGGTATTCTTCACATCTTTCATAAATCACAGCTTTTTCACATCTCTGACTTTTCCTTTCTTCCTTTCACCTAATGAACTCTGAGGTTTATACAGTTGTGTATCAGTTTGGTTTTTTTGCTGCATAAATGCAGATATTAAAAAGTATTTCTCCTTGTTGAGTACTTATACATTAGGAACTGCTTGAATCCACTGACAAAGTGCCGGAAAACAGATGGTTAAATATGGCATGTGTTATATTAATTGTCTTATCTGGCTTTAGAAGCTGATTTCAGCATTCTGACTAACATCACACACTCTGTTTTGTGCACAGATATATATATATATCTATGCTTGTCTTTAGCATCTCTAACAGATACACGTCCAGACTCTGCATTCATCATCCAGCTAAACTTTCAGTCACATGTGAGTTTCTGGTAGGCAGGGAGTTTATGAACCAGTGGTGCTTGCAGTCAATCAGTGAAGACTGACAGGTGCAAAGATGCAAAGTGAAAGCCAGAAACGAGGCTTAACCCAGTGCAAAACGAGGAGATGCTCCATCCTTCTCAAGGCCACGCAGGGAGAGGCTCAGGCAGGAAATCCCTCACTGTGCTGGATGAGAAGCTGCTGGCTAGGCAACCTCTAACACAGCCTTTCCAAGCTGCACATTCACTCCCTCCCTCGGCCTGAAATTCTCTGAATTTGTTGGTTGTCAGAGCACAACAGAAACCTTCTCTGTGAGTCAACCTAACAGAAAGAACCTGCAGGGGAGGCAGTATTTTTTTTTTATTATTTATTCCAAGATGAGCACGAGTTTGGAAAGCACTCAATAAAAGGTTCTGATGTCACTCCCTAAAACACTGATGTGCTGGATTACAGATGCAAGCAAGTTCTGCAAGGGAGAGTGACTAATGAGATGTGGCTCCAGGGGAGAAGACCCATGTGTGATCAGTGAGAGCCCTTTTCAGCCAAGCAGCTAAGAAAGTGACACAAGAATTCAGACAGAAGTACAACGAGAGGCCACTCACCTAAATCCCTGGAGAGATCTGACAATGTCCCAAGGGTCACAGGACAGGATTTTACATCTGCAATATCCCATGTTCCTGAATTTAAAATGCAAACAAACAGTAACCCAAAATCTGATGTCATGTTCACAGTTTTTACCTCATGCTCCCAAGCTCATTACAGCCCTTCCGTGTTCTCTTAATTCCAGGCCTACATCCACTGCTGTTGCTGGACAAGCATCAAGCAAGGAGAAATCACCTTTATGGAGAGAGAGAGTCCAGCCCCATCACCATGTATACCTTCTCAGACTTTTAATGTGCATGTCACGCCAGCATGGCACTTCTCTGGACTTAAATTCTTCACTCATCTGAACTGATACCCTTTATGCACTGCTGGCAAAGTTGTCATCATGTATTGGAAATGGCCTTTTGAAAGCATTAGAGTAAAAATGGTACTAATGTCCTCCCCCATCAACCCTGTAGTTTGCAAGAAAAGGACTCTAGCAGAGAAGGTAACTCACATGAGGGCAACCTAAGAGCATTTTCTGAATCCTCAGAGTACTGGATTAATGCTACTGAAGGTGAGTCATCATGTGGCCTTATTAAATTCAGCCACCATGCTCAAGTAATCACTGAGAATGTAGTCAAAATCAAATGCTTTCGATTTAGGAATACCCTGCCTTTTCCTTTTTTGAAACACACAGATATACCCTGCAGCCTAACTCTGGCCATGTGTGAGCATCCTCAGAAGGCAAGACTTTGGTTGTAAAAGACACAAATAGTACCTGTGGGTAGAAAACAGCTTGCACCCAGCAGGTAGTCTACAACACAAGAAATTCCTGCCATAAAGACTCCTCTTTTCACACTGCTGGGAAATAAATGCCACCTAGCAGGGTCCAAGGGGGGTGGACAACACTATGTGTGCAGGATGAATATCAGTGGAGCTGCACTTTGATGAGGACACAGCAATTTGTGAAGCTTCCCCTTGGCAATATTTGAATGTCAACACTCACCTACATTGGAGAAAACATCGTCTTCTGACCTGGAGGGTGCCAATTCTTCCCGTAGGGCTCCTGAGCCCTTCAGCACAGTCCCACACTCTGCCTTGGCAAAGAGAGCACCTTTTCCACCACCACCAATGTCCTCTGCGAGTGGCCACACCGCTCCCTTCTTGTCCCAGTCAAAGGCTGGCTCAGCTGCTGAGCTACCCAGAGATGCTCTGCCGGGGTCTTCTCGGGAACAAACATTACCACAGGATCATCGTTACAACAGGATCATCATTATTCGTAATTACAAGGAAGAGTTGTTCAGGAGAGAAAACAGAACAAAGCCTGATCTAAACCCATCAGGCTATTTCCAACTGCATTTATTTACAGACATGGTGGCAGTGAAACGCAGCTCCTGGAATGGAGCACTGGAGTGGAAAACAGGAAGGCCAATGTGAGAAGGATGGTTCCACAGCAGCCTTGGGCATCCCTCCCTGGAGAGGAGGCTCAGGGCCTCCAGGGTTCTGCTGGGGGCCCACAGCAGTGAAGGGAGAGAAAGGGAAGAGCTGGACCTCCAAGAAAAAAGAAAGCAAACCTCTTGGATGCTGGTCGTTCAAGACTGCTAGCGAAATCAGTGCAGGCATATGAATATTTTAAAAAATGAATGTTATCTCCAACAGTTTTGTTCCAAAGGACTCCTCAAGTGTTTCATGACTCCAGCCTTCAGAATAGCAAAGCATTTTCTGAAGCTCTGGTGAGGAGGTGACCACTGCTGACACCAACTCCACCTTCATATACCTTAATGGTGATGCTGCTGTTTCTCCCCTGCCAGGCAACAGCAGCCAGCACTCAGCAGGGTTAGGGCTTCTTCCTAGATCACATCTCACTACCCTGTAAATGCCCATGCCAGCATGATCCAGGGTTCATGCACAGGCTGCAGGACTGCACCAAAGACTTCTGGTGCTTCAAATGAGACTTGGAGCTCCCTTTCCTGGGTTAGCAAAGCCCTTAACATCTGCATAACCTTAGGGTTAATCCCTGTGGGGTTCTGCATGTGGAGCTGGCACCACTGATGACAACAGGTCAACTTACACGAAGAAGGAAATGTGGACCCATTTAGTGGAGAGAAACTGGTGACCTCAGCACCTCTAGTCTTTAAAGACCCTTGATAAACCAAGAGTCAAAAATCTAAACTCTTGATATTTAACTCTATATAATCCAAATGATAGATAAAGTGGTCTCAAGGTGTCTGTATATTTTTCTATTGAAAATGTTGTCTTACCCTTCAATAGAGCACCTGAGAGCACTTTAAAAGCCTTACTGCAGACAGTGCACTAACTCACACATATCCAGCTAAATCCCCTAATCCAGCTATGTCTCTCCAATATCCAAACCCCTATCTTAGCTTCTAAATTACTCTAATATTATAAACCTAAAGGTTATGTTGATCATTTTATCACATATAATGAATATACTTCCAAATGTTTTAATTCCATGATCTGCTTTCATATAGTGGTTATTACATACAACTGCTATGATTTCTGCTGTATGATTAGCAGAAATGTATATAGGCATAAGTGCACAGCAGACACCTTGAAATCCCCAGAAAAAAAATGTGGAGTGAGCACAAAGTGTCATTTCATTTTAACTCATTAGGAAAAGAGCCTATTCCTATTATAGTTCTTTAGTCTGGACAATCCTGGACTAAAGAACCTGTTTGGAACGGATAAAATTATTCATGTTTTTACACATCCATAATCAAAAAAACTCTGTCAAGCCATGCAAAAGGAACAAGCCCACGTGACACCAAGCCTTTAGCAGATCTATGCTCTAACAGACATCTGCTTTCAAAGTCCTGTGGGTAATGCTGTGTGCTCTGCTGTGTGTTTTAATGAGAGCATGGAGTAAAAGGCAAGCTCCCAAGTAAAAGCTCCCAAAGCTGTTTTTTCTTAAGTAAATAGCCTCAGTGAGTGTACGGATTTTGCTGCCAAGTGATGAATAGAGCAAAGAGACACTGGGGTGTGGGGAGGGGTAACAAGCCCAGCCAGATCAGGTGTGCAAATTGAGCCTGTACATTTACCTTTTTGTTTCAGCCTTTCCTTCCTTAAGTGTCTCTTTTCACGGCTGCTGATCTTGGTCTGCCAAACTCCTATAACAGAGAGCAAAGTTCATTTTTAAGCTATCAAACAACTTTCTTCATTGCCTTTACTGCTTAGCACCAAGGTAAACAACCATCTGAAAGTTTCTGATGCTGGCTGTAAAAGAACATCAGACCTTGTGCAGCATGTCCCCTGTGTGCAGCCTTTGTTTCCTCTGCAGAGATGTATTACATAAGAAATCCCCATCACAGACCTGTCTGTGCACATATTCTTCTGTCCTGTGTGTCAGCCTGATGTGACACCCATTCCCTTGGGGGAGATGTCACAGCAAAGCATCAACCACCTTATATATCTGACAGGGGTGAGAAGTTAATTAAAATCTTAACCATTAAATAAGGCTTCAATTTACTGAGTTCCTCTAGCCCTAGACTTGTTCTGCAATGTGGACACCCTCTCCTACTCAGCTGCTTTACACACACATTCATTCACACCCATGGGGCCACATCCTGTCTCCATCCATGCTCTCCATGACCCAAGAAGTCAGAGGAGGTGCTGGCAAAAATGGTAAATGAAGGGGAAAACAGCCCCTGGAGCTGACCAAGACACTTCCTTTCTCTGAAGCATTCCTGAAGAACACATGAAGCATCCCTGAAAAACACATGAAACAGTTCAGCTGGCTCATCCATTCAAAAAAATTACAGATCTGTCTGCAGAAAGCCTCTGCTGTGTCCCCTTCTCCCCCAGCAGCCTCACGGGCCCCAGGAAGGACTCTGGTCCAACAGCAGCAAGGGCTTCTCTTGCTCTCACCACCACACTAATCACATTGTAATCTTTTAAGCCCAGAAAAGCTTAGAATTTGTTATTTTCAGTGCAACCCTTGGTGGGGGGAGGCAGAGCTCACGGGATGCAGTGGATTTTCCAGTGAAATTCTAGCTGCCTGAGCCTTGCTGGCCTCTGCCAGATTTCTCTGCAGATCTGCTTGCAAACAAAGGTATTGGCTCAGCTCACAAGTCTGCTGCTATAAGTTGGCTGTGAATTGCCCCAGCACCTCTACCAGCCTCAGCCATGGGCACAACAGCGTGCTGCTCCATCTGTGTATCAGCAGGGCAGAGGCCACAGGACTGGGGGAGTACTCTGCTGACCACAGGGCCTCTGACCACCTCAGGGATCCTTCCTCACCTGCAGATTTGCCCTCCCTGTGTACACAGTTGAGACCTGGGGAGTATGGGAGGAAAGCACATGGCCCCTGTCAGAGACTGAAATTTTATGGCTTAAACATCTTTATGAAGGATTTTTGCCCATTACAGAAAAAGTGCATAATGACGCTGCACCACCGAAGGCCACCCTGGATGGGCCTCCTGACTGAAACCCTGGACTGTGAGTTAAACCCATAAGGCAACTTGAGATAAGGAAGGTCACACTATTGTTCAAAGCATCTGGAAGAGCACCCACAGCCCAGCACAGCCCCAGGTTTATCAGCTGCCAAGCTCACACAGACCCTGCACCAAAGGGGGGCAGAGGAAAGGTTCTGGGGGTGCGGCACAGCCTCTGGCCAGAGGCACTGAGTGCCCACCCTCAGCGGTGGGGCCTCTTCACCCCAGGAAAGCCACATGGCAGGGACATCCTAAGGGACATGTGAGGGACAGCAGAAAGGTGTCCTGGTCCATCAAAGGCCCCTCCCAAAAAGAGTCCCCCGACCCTGCACCGGAGCACTGCTCGTGATGCAAGAGATCCACAGTGTTGCAAGGGACAGTGTCAAACTTGCCCCATTAGGGGAGGCACATGGGCATTCTCATTTCCCCAAATGTATATTAATCCATTTAAGGCAGGGGACCCTCACCACCAAGACAAGATGGAGGGAAGCAAAAAGCCATCATTGGAACCCAGGGAGGGGTGATACATTTCTGATCTTTGTCACTCTCCCTGTTCCCCCACACACCTCTTTTTCTATTTTTCTTTCTTTCTTTTCTCTTTCTTTCTCTTTGCCTCTTTTACTATTAAATAAAATATATCAATTTTTTGATCTCAACATCTAAGCTCATTGGTTTGAATTGTGTTTTTGGGTATATTCAAATCTTCCAGGGTTCGATCCATTTTATTCACAGGGAGTTAGTTCTCTTTACTCCTCTGTAATTAAACCAGATCACAACAGCACCTGTCCACATAGTTACACGTGGAAAGGAGCAGGTGATAGAAATAACTCCCAAACTGACAGCTTTCCTCACTGACACAGAACTCTTCTGTGTAGAGAAGGCCTCCCTTTTGACATATTTCATCCCATGTTATTGTTTGGTAATATGCATCAGATAATAGAAGAATCAGATCTTTTGTTACCTTCTTCCTCTTGCAGTTTGTCTTTTTCCACAGAAAGCAGATCTTTTGGCACATCCTTGTCTGAGCACTGGGTTTTCCTCTTCTTCTTAGGCTACAGTATAGAGGAGATATACAGAAGAAAGTGAAAATAAATATTTGTTATGTTTCATCCGGAAGAAAAAAGAATCAGGACGTTAGTTGTGAAATTGAGACAACCCATGATACTCAGAGAGAGCAGGGGGTTGCTGGAGTCTTTTAAGTGTGTGCAAAAGTCTTCCTGAACAGATTTTATTGCAAATTCCAAACCAATAAATGCTATTGCTTTGGACCTACAAATCCTATCTGCTAGATTAGAAAGTTCACATTTTTATTCAGGTACCTGCTCTATAGTAAGATTTGCATTCATTGTTCCTAAGTTCTTCCTCTGAAGGAAGAAAGCCTAAAGTATTTACCCTTTTTAAAATCAGGAGTGCTATAATCAAGAGTTAGGACCCTGCCAATGCTTAACAAAAAAACCCCAGCCCCCCCCTGCCCTTTCCAACCAGGGAGCTGCCTGTTCTTGATGCAGGTGTCTGTAGTTTGCACTAATCTGAAGGGCTCAGGAGTAGCTGAGGCCATTTGCATACAGCTTGATGAAACAGTAGTGCTAACCCTAAACCATAAATTTTGAATGTTCTAGTTTAAACAGTGATTCTTGACTTTTCCAAGGTGGGAAACCTCTGCCAGAAAATGTACCTCCCTGCCCAGACTCAGGGGCTGCTCCTCACCTAGAATCACAAAATCACAGAATGGTTTAGAAGGGACCTTAAAGACCATCCAGTTCCAACCCCCCTGCCACCTTCCACTAGACCAGGCTGCTCAGAGCCCTATCCAGCCTGGCCTAGAACACTTTCAGGGACAGGGCAGACATCTCTGGGCAACTTGGAACTTGCTGTGGATGATGAGACCATCCCCCTTGTGGTGGCAGTGACAAAAACTACAATGTGGCTGTGCCAGAAAATTACATGGTTTTATATTCCTGCAGCATCTCTTAAGTGCAGCAAACCAAGGCAGAACAAACTATGTTAAAAAAAAAAAAAATGAACATTCTTAAAACAACTGTCTCTTGAAAGAGAATATTTAAACTGTAAAAGTCTTGCTGGTACCTTGAGGAGCTTTTTCTCTCTGATGTTGACTGATGTGATAAGATGGCCATTCACTGGAACCTAGGAGGTGGACAATAACAAAATGCATTATAGTACATAAACATGCATGTGTGTGTATGTGTAAATATATATAAAAATATATTTATTTCAATACCTTCCTAAAATACACATAATAGTCTAAAAGATATACCTAAGTCACCCCCTGTACAAATGTGGGTTAGAATCTGTGGCCTTGTTCCAACTGGAGTAATTAATTCCAAGTTAATTAGCGTATGCTAAGCCTTTATGAATGTAAGTCCAGAAACTCCACAAAGATTTATTCCAAAGCAGACATATTTGTGGTTTATGATAAGATTTGTCTAGGATCAAAGTTGTTTTTCAAATAGGGTAAGCCTGTCTTAAAAAAACAGCATAGACATGAGAGGGCTTATTTTAATTCTTGTTTACCAGTTGGGGTGGACCTTATGCTCCCTCTCAAGTCTATCTGACTAACTAAAATAATAGATTTTATCCTACCTAGAGCCAGTAAAATAAGCAATAAATGTTTATGGACTTTTCAAATGATAATTTGACTAATGTCTCAGCTGTCTCAGAATTCCCCAGGAATTGCCAGCCACCAGCAACAGGGATGGGAGGGTGTAAATCTGCAGCTGGGACAGCAAGGGCTGTGCCAGCAAGGGCCACTGCACACTCTGCAGAGCCAGCAGCATCCAAGACAAGGCTGAAGGTGCCTCCACAGGCGCCTCTGTTTCTCCCTGACACACACAGCAGCTCATTGCTGGATGTATGGCACTTCTCTGACTTTTCCAGGTTGCTCTCCCTGTGCAATGCAGCTGCTGTTCAGCACTGTCCAGGCTTCCTTCAGCCCATCAGACCTGTAGGGCTGCCCAGCTGACCCCACATCTCCCAGAAGGGGGCCTTACTCAGGCTGTCACCCTAATCCTTGATCCATCCTCTGCCTCCTCTGCCAGGGGCAAGGAGATCCCTGGCAGGTGAAGGCAGCCCTGCCTGGAGCAAAAACCCATCTGATCCCTGTAGAATTCAGGTACCCATTCCTCCTGGGGAAGGGAAGCCAGCTGATGCTTCCTCCTGCCTCCTCCCTCCCCCCTCTCAAAGATCATCTCTGTCCCTGAGACACTGGGGCCATGATTAGATAACAGCAGATAAAATTCTGTGGGTGACTGCCCATGTCTCTCCCCAGCAGACCCAGAGGGGCTGCAGTCCTTCAGACTCTTAACGGTCATCTCTTTGATATTTTGGGGATTTTAGAGCTATTTTTCACAAGTCTCAGAAAGGTTTGGTTTGAAGTGCATGACAGGCACCTGTATGCTGGCAAATGTTTCATCCCTAGAGGTATTTGCTTGGAATTCCAGACCAGTTACAAGCCCATGGTGGACATGGACCCAGCAGCTGGTGTTCATCCCAAGTTCCACAATGATTAGGAGAAGAAGCCCCAAAACTGTGGACTTTGCACACTGACAATACTGATTTGGGGTCTTCCAGTAAAACATCACAGCAGCAGGAGGCAAAACCCTTGCCTGTTATATTAGTAATTCCACCAGCTTCACATTGTCAGCTTAAGCCAAAATCTCTTCTGTCCCCCTCGGCTGTCAAATGCAAACAATATAATTGTTTACAATTATGTTATTCTGCACATTAGTAAAATAATTACTTATCTGTTATAAGCCAGCAACATTTGTTAGTAGCTAGAAAGGCTGTCTTGTTTTTTCCCACAGGCACTCTCTTCTAAGCCTCTCAGGTTCATTTACTAGAGGCACTCCATAAATCCCACCACAAAGCAAACTGTTTTCCATCTCCTGCTCTGCTCAAGGGAAAAATCCCCCTCTACCTGCAGCAGGGAGGGAAGCAGCTTCTCACAAAAATGTGGGATATAAAATACAAAACCAGGGGCATTTTGGTGAAAATTTGAACCACATAGATATGGAAAATCTTGAGTTTATATTATTCTTTCTTTCTCAGTATATGTTTCTGTCCATTTAAATGTGTGAGAATACAGATAGATCTCGTCTCAGTGGACAACAATTCCTATGCAATATAGAATCTTGGGGGAATGACTTTAAATTATATGACAGAGAACTTCAGGAAAACGGAATTTTATTGGATGAATGCAAGAAGTGATGACTGGGGGAAGCTAAACAACATATAAGTGGAATATTCCTTCCTGATGTCATCAAACCCTGGTGATTTCCCAGTTTTCATAGTGAAATTTTCTCTGTTTTCTAAAGGCTTTGCCCAAGTGAAGGCAGTTTGAGCAAGACTGCCACCATGGGTACAGAAATAGCAACACCAGCTTAGGAGGCAAGGAGGAGGATGCTTTTTTGCCATCTTTCAGAAACACAGATAAGAGGATAAGAGACATCCCACCTCCTGTTAGCCTCTCTTTATATCAAGATGCTTCTGTAAGCATGAGGGACTGCAGGCAGAGAGGGAAATGTCAGGATTAAGGGCATGAAACTGCCTTCCTCCCCCAGGCTGGTGTAAGCGAGCACAGCCCGAGGCTGAACAGGGCCCTCACACAGGCAAGAACTCCAGAAGGAAAACGCTGAGTGCAATAAAGGATTAGGGAAGATACAAAATATATTGGCTCTGACAGACTCGTCTCAGCTGGGGCAGGATCACGTTCCTGGACTTTCTCTCCATATAAATGACATTAAGCAAGGAGCTGGAAATTTGCAGCACTTTGTTTTAGTGCTTTGCCAACCTGACTGACTGCTGCGTACTTTCTCCAGACAAGCACAACGTTTGCTACTGAAATGACATTTCACCTGCTAGACAAACATCCCCCTCTCTCTCCATCACTGACTAGGAGGTTAAATAGTCATTTAGTATATCCCAGGGGTCTTCATGATGACTGACTGGCTATTCAGCCCTAAGTGCCCACTTGGGACTCCTGAACCTTGTTGCATCCTTCCTAAAGAGCAGCTGAGAAAAAAAAATACCAAACCCGACCACTGACTGATGCTCAGCAAATGTCCCACCACTGGGGTGATGCTCTTCTTTTGAACCTGAAATATCTCTTGCTTCTCTGCCATCCTTCAATAACACCAAGAGCTCCCTTTCTTTCATCACCAAGAATTTTTACTGAGTTTTATTTCCTTTCAGTGGAAACGTATTATGTTAGCCTGACCTTTTGTATTAAATCCTGCCCTTATCCAACCCTTTTCCAGGCAGTAAGCTGGCTGTGTGGCTAAGGAACCCCACCCTACCCTATTCTTCCCTTTTGAAGCCCTTAGGGTAGGGGATTAGTCATGCCTCTTTATCGTGCCATTAGGCCACTATGAAAAGGAAAAAGGAATTTTCATTATTGTATTTTATTTAACCGAATGGAATCATTACAGAGAAATTAATATTTTCAGGGGAATTTTTTTCTTAATGAAAAATGTAGTTTTGTACAGGGAAAACACATCTAAATCCACCACATTAAATGATTATATTAAGTGAAATTCCAAATACATCAAATATATGCAGAGAAGCAGAATCAGTACTTTTAGTGGAATCAGACTTAGCATATTAATTTCTACTCGCATTCTGTGGAACAATAGAAAAATTATTTTTAGTTCATGGCCATTTGGTTCATGACCCAGTGGAACAGGATTTCCCCCCCACCCGCTGCCTTTTTTTCCCTTTTTTATGTAACCTAAGGTTATATTTCTGATGATTGTTATGAAACTATCAATTTCTGATCCTCTTGAGCTAGTTTTTAATTTATTTTATGCTGTTAATATAGTTCTACATAAAGTCACAAAGAAAGGAGGCAAAGTGATACATCTCCAAGTGCCCAAAAATGCTCGGTTTAGTATATAAACCTTGTATTCAAAGCCATAAAGCTGTATGACTAGAGACTTACCTTTATGCATTTCAGTTTTGTTAGACTAATCATTTTTATAAAACCCAACACCTTTGTGTCTATCAAATCAGGCTGCCTGCTTTCACATCTCAGTGCCACCAGCTGGTTAGAGGAGTAATTCAACATCATGAGAATATCAGCTTCAGGTTCACTAACTGCCCTTTGTCCCTCTTGGGAAAGGTGCTTAAAATTGCCTTCCTAAGGAAGGCATGGAAAGGTTTGCCCAGTAGAGGGATACTAGGACAAAATAAACTCAGCCTATGAAACCCAAAGGGAGCTATTATATTCGTCACACATTGGAAATCAGGAAATTCATTTAAGAACATGAATAAAGATTCAGAAAATTGTTCTCAGCTACCACTTTCAGAAAACTCAAATTAAGTGGGTTGGACACTGGAAATGAAAGGAAGCAAAACTACCCCATTCTGGCAGGGGGTCTGTGAACACAAAACCATTTCCAGATTTAAGAAGTACTTCAATTAAATTGTTTCTTAGTGCTCAATTCCAGTGGGGAAAAAAAAAAACATGGAGGTTTTTTTTCACTTTATGTTACAACACAAGAAAAATATCGTGGATTTAGGCCAAAGGGCAATACTTTTGTGACAAAAGTAACACCAACATGCACTAAACTAAAATATTAAGGGAGGGGGTGGGAGAAAAGAACAAAAAGAAAAGGACTTTCTTAGCAGGGAAATAAATAATCTCCCTTAAACATGCTCTGTTACAACTGAACAAGGTATGACTGCACTTTTCAGCTTTCTCAGTAGATCTTTAACAAGCTGAAAAGTGAGCACGAAGTCTTTCTTCATCCCTCTCAGCATCCTCTGGAAGATCCAGTCCTTGCTCCCTACACTGCATGCTCTGAGTCGGATTATTTGCAGCACCACTTGCAGTTCACTGTTGGCTCTCTGCAGGTGGGTTCTTGTCTCCTGTGCACAGAAGCAGGGGCTGGGCCATGGGGACAGCAAGCCCAAGTGCTGCTGCTGCTGCAGCCAGACAGGGCTCGTGTTTCTGCATCCACAGCCGGCCAGCAATCGGCGAGACAAACGTGTTGGGAAACAAAGCAGTGCTGGCTTTCATTTACTCTGATCCATAAATGGAAGCAGACATCCTGGCCAGGCTGCCTTTGCCACATGGTCTTGTCCTGATGATGGACTTTGCTCAGGGAGACCTATTCCCCAAACCAATGGGA